ATTCCACAAACCCTATTATACACGTTACAAAATGTGTACAACATTGGTTTAGCTAACATGTACCATTTTAAATGGAGATCATTTTATGTTCACATTGCAATCTATACATATGTATATATGTGTGTGTATATATATATATATATATATTTAAGGAATTCCACAAACCCTATTATACACGTTACAAAATGTGTACAACATTGGTTTAGCTAACATGTACCATTTTAAATGGAGATCATTTTATGTTCACATGATGAATGACTAGAATGAGGCAATAACAAATCATTTCTAAACAGTTATTTTCCATTAAAAGCCATATAAAATATTTTGCCTGTTAAATTCTAGTTTTACATTTTGAATCTTGTAGTGGTTACATTGCCATTTAGTTGCATCATGTATATATTTGAGTTTGCATTATGACTCCTGTAAAATATGAAATTATAATGCAATAACTGTTATCTTTCTTACAGAAGTTTTGTACCTAAATGGATATAAAAGATACTTGCATAAAGACTTCAATAAATTAATTCCAAGTTAACTCACTCTTCAATATTATTTCTAGTAGTATAATAATAAAATTATTTTCTAATAGTTTTAGAATTAATGATGAAATTACTCAGTTAAGATGCTTTGATACAAATAAAATATTGAATTAGTGAAACAATTTTGCTGTATTTTCTATAGATTTTGGTAGTTCATCTGTGCAATAGATAAAAGTGTTCAATATAGTAATGCACATTGAATTTGCCCTCCATGCTGTTATTTCACTAGCTGTTTACAAAAAGACATCCTCATTAGAAAGTGTTTGCTTTATTTTTATTGCATCCAGCTAGCTAACAGTGTAAGTAGAGATCTATCAGTAAAACACCTTTGTTTCATAAATATCCAAAAGTGTGTAACTTTAAAAGATGCATTTGGGCCCAGAATAGTTGATACATTGATAAACTTTACAAAAACATTTGCAAATATCCAAGAAACAATAGTGAAGATGATAACACATAGGAGAAGTAGAGGAGGGCCCTTCCACTTAGGAGGAACTAGATTTTAATACCTGTCAATATTTTTCCCAGGCCTCATCTTTTCAAGGCGAATCCTGGGGATGCAAAGCTACAACTTCATGCACAGGGTAGGGTAGTGGGGGAAGGGAGGACTAGAGCAAGGGGCAGAGGAGGAGACGAGGACTTGGACTGTTCCGTGAACACAGTAAGTCCTTTGAGCAGGGCTCAAATTCTGGATACCCTGGTATTTGGCACTCTCAAGTGTTTTCACAAAAAGCTTCTGATGCTGGGAATAAAACTACCCTCAAAAATCACAGATCAAAACATCTAGATTCAGGTGACTGGTGTATTTTTCTTCTGCTTAAGTACATCTACTTAAATTTTATCTCCTTTGGATTGTAAGAAGCCATTGTGTTTTATATCAGCAGCTATTCCAAAGATAAAGATCCACTAACATACTCAAGAAGCAAAGGTAAGAAAACCAAACTCTGAAAACATTAAAACAATTTGTAGTAACTGATCCCTGCAGCTTTGATTTGTTGATAAAATTCAACATGTACACTCTTTTATAATTGAACAGCAGACTGCAAGATGTCTAAAGGCATTTAGATCAAGAGCTTTCAAAATTCAGGTAGACATACTAATGGGTCATACCAATTTAGAAAGTCATAACGCATTTTTTAAAAAATAGAACAGTATAAAATAGAAAATGCCAAGAGTCTTCAGTCACTAAAAACTTTTTGGGAAGCTTCTGTTTCAATTATGTGGATATGTGAATGTAAGTCCATGTAATTTAGAGTGTAACTCTGGATCATGGTCAAAAGTCTTTGTCAGTACCATATAACAGAACTGAGTGTGAACGGGACTATATTGGGGGTAATTCCATCTTTGTGGTAAACAGCTTTGGGAAATGAGCACTACTACCATTTATTATCCCATAATTTGGGGGCAAGTAAAATAAGGATCTTGACAAACCTGTAAGTTATCTATGAGCATTAACACATTAATGACAAGCAGCTCTAATTTTATTAGTAAAAAGATAAAAGGGATTAGATTCATTTGCACCACCAGCGGTACAAGTCACACAATTGGAGTGTCATGCATGTACCACCAGTGGTTGAAGCTGATGGGAACATGAAATAAGGAAACAGTAAAACATTTCTAGTGACCTCACTCAATGAAAATAAGTATTGGATTGATTCCTCAGAACTTCTAGTGGCATTTCATATGAAGCAAATATTTATCTGAAGGTAGAGGTAGACTGTAGTATACTAATAGTGGACTTCAATACCCCACTTCAAAATGGACAGATCATCTAGACAAAATAAGGAAATATCAATTAACCTACATTTTTGACCAAATAAATCTAATAGACATATATAAATAGAACATTCTATCCAACAGTAACAGAATATAGATTCTTCCCAAGTTTATAGGGAACATTCTCTAGGATAGATTTTTATACCACAAAACAAGTTTTAAATGTAAGAAAATTAAAATCTCACATATTTTTTTCCAACCACATTATGAAACTAGAAATCAATAACAGGAGACATTTCAGAAAATTCACAAATACATGGAATTTGAAACAACTAATGAGTCAGTGAAATCACAAAATATCTTGAAATAATGAAAATGGAAGCAACATATCAAAACATGGGATACAGCAAAAACAGTTCAAATGCAAGTTTATAGCATTAAATGTCTACATCCAAAAAATTACAACCTAATATTACCATTCAAGGAATTAGAAAACTGTAAGAACATACAGCCCAAAGTTACCAGAAGGAAGGAAATAAAACCAGAGCAGAAATTTTTAAAACAACCTTTGTGATGTTCCAATTGCTTTTCAAATTGTAATCATCCAAAAATAAGCTACATTATGAACATCACACATTGTAAACTTTGTTGTGAAATAAATTATAAAAATTTCTAACTAGAAATAACTATGAAACAGCAATTTCCATTTTCCTCATAATTTAAAGGTTTCTCAAAAGATTAATACATTTTGTAATTGCTTATGTAAACAAGAAAGAAAGCTGATTAATAAAAGGTAATTTTGATAAAGAATTTTTCACAAATATAATATTTCTGTAAAATTAATCTTTATTGAAAATTAAATTCAGTTGACTAGCCCTAGTGGTAGACTTACTTAGGTGTCTGTGGTTAACAGCTATGACCCATTACAAAAAAGCCACTTTTTGAAGTCATGTGATGCTTTTGAATTTTAGTCTATTCTGCAAGACCATTTTTCCTTTAAGAACATCGTATGGGTGCCAAAGGACTAAATTAGTGAACAGATATCCTCTATTAATCTGCTTTTGATTATGAGATACAGACCAAAAAGCCCAGTGAGGGTTGAGTGAAAGGACTAGGGAAAATATATTGAGAAGGAATCCACATTTACCATAGCTAGACTGTCTTTAATAGGAAGACAACAGTCCAATATCAGAAGTCATGATTTCAGACTCTGGCTACAAGGCTCACCATGATGACACTGAACATCTCTGGGTTTTACTGTATTCTTGAGAGAAACTTCAGGATTTTTCTGCTTCCCAGGAAGATAAACACAATGAAGAGTCAAACACTGAGAGTTGTTCCTATTCATCCTGAATCCATCATAAGGGAATCAGCTAAGCATGTTATGAAAGTTACTTATATTTTAAGGAAACAAGAATATATTTCTCCTACAAATGACTCAAGATTATCTTTATTATAGAGTAGTACTCCACTGTGTGTAAATATCACACTTCTCTTTCTCCATTCATCTCTTCATGGACATATAGACCACTGCCAAGATTTAGCTAGACCATGACGTTAAACAAATCAGACACAGAAGCTTAAATATTCCATGGTTTCTCTTATATGAGAAACCCAAAGTAAAAATAAAGAGCAAAGAGTGTGAAGCTCCCCGGCTGTGTTCAGGTGCCTGCCCACAGCATGGTGAGGTCCCAGGACCGGCTTGGAGCCCCGCCTTCATCTGGTGCAAGGCCCAATTCCACCCCCCCAGCCCCCGCCTCTCCTGCTACCTGGTCCCACATTACAGAGGCACAAGGGATTATACTTCACACAGTTAAATGTGATAGATTAATAACTACCACAAATTGTCATTTTCTAAGCTGCGTTTGATGCTATGGTATTGCTGATTGTAACATTTGGCCTAACTTGTTGTGATTGATCTAATCAGTTTTCCTTCCTAGTATAAGGAAAATAAAATAGCCTCAGAGTCATTAGAGCCTCAAAACCTAAACATAAGGCATATATGGAAGACACCTCTGAAAAGCAATCATTCCACAAGGGTTTTAAACACAAGCAGCAAAGATACCTGCATTAAGCAATTTTGAAATATCACCCCAGGGATTAAATCAAGGACAGCACCAAAAA